AGAATGAATGCACAGGGACCAAATGTACCCAGGGAGGTTGGATCAGTCATTATTTGGTCTAAATCAAGGTGAGATGCTATTGATGCATCCAAGAGACTTAAATGAGCTAATGAGGACCCATTTGCACCCCAAACTTGTCAGTGTCACTGTCCTGTCCTTTAGTAAAACAACCACATCATGTCCAGTGTCAGCAGTCTTTTATACTGCCCTGGGTTTAGGTGTTGTTGTATCAGCCATTGTCCCAGACTCTATATCCATCTCTTCTAACTGAAAAATCTGTGTTTAATTTTTCTCTCAACATCCACATTCCTATAGTTGCATGTCATTCCTGCAATGTACTGAAGGCAGCGTGGTGTAGTAATACTACTTGAAATTAAAGCTAGTGCAAGATATGATTACAGTTATTATTGGAGTTCAAAGCAGAGACCACAGAGTTTGGGATGTCAATTAGCCACCAGTCAGGTTCTGATGGGCTTTGTGCACTGTAATGATTTAAAGGGTCTGATGTAGTTTCAAAGCAAGTTTTAAGCAAATGCCTCTGACCTGGACTGCAGCAGCCAGCTGGAGGAGCCAGCAGGAGGTACAGGCTCTCTGGGCTTCCCAAACAGGAACTGCCACTTCAGAGACCATTCTCAGACAGAGGTTTCTGTGTTTGAATTCAACCACTGGAATTTGCTCCTTAGGTTACGCCGAACCCAAAATAAGTAAGTAGAATGAGTTTTGGATTGTTTTCAGTACTGTAATAATGATTTCCATTGTTTATCAACCTACTCTGTTGCAGCCTCTGAGATGTCCCTACCCTGTTTGCTGCTGGCCCTGGCCAGGGAATCGTTACAGGGCTTAAGCGAAAACCTTGTACTGTCTTGTTTCTGTGTTGGTGGAAACTTATGGTTGTCTTTGTCCGATGAAATTTTGCCTGAGAGAAAAACTTGAATACCAGTTCCATAGAGAAATCAGCTCCTTCAGATAGTCCTTGAGACCATGAGCTCTGATGGAGATAACACACCAGGAAAATGAAGGGGAAGTTCAGCTGCTTTCTTCTTACCTGGGAGTATTGTGTACATACAATCTGATTTTTTTTTCCCCCTTATCTGATGTGTTTGGGAAAGGGACTTGACTGTGTTACAGGACATGACGTACATAGTAAGCTTTGGAAACACATCTGAGAGTGCAGGTAGCTCTGCTTTTGAACAGGTGGACTTCTGACATTTTAAAATACTCTACTTTTGAATTGTTAAGTATTTCTGAATGCCATCCTTATTTGTCCCATGTGGTATGCAGGATCTTTATGCTCACTTAAGAGTCTTTGAACTAAGGAAACATTTAGGCAAGTGCTGATTTCCTAATCTCTGTGGGGTTTTGTCTTTGCTTGTAGGGGGATGAACTCTAAAAAGGTAAATTCTAACTTCTGCCCAATGGCCTAGGGAAGCAGATCTCTGTTCCAGCAGCAATTTGTCAGTTCATTAAGAGATACAGTATCCTGGCTTCTTGGGTAATGGTTTTGCTAGCTCCAAGGAGCAGTGGTACAGTCTGATTTCATGGCTACCAAGTTATGGCCAGGTGAGAATGGAAACACCCAGGCAGAGAAGCTCTGTCCAGACAGTGTTTTGAGTGGCTGGAGCAAGGCACAGGCTGCTGTGCTTCTCTGGGTAATTTCATACAAATGTCCAGCATTCATGGAAGCAGAGCTATAGGACTGGAATACTCTTAAACATCTTGCGTGGGAATTCTGTGGACTTTAGACTACTATAGTTAAGGTCACATCTTCACATGTGGATATCTAAAATGCATGGAAATACAGATATTCATAAAAGCTTTCAATTTTGGCTCCTCTGTAGGAATGATGACTGTAGTATTGCTGTACTTAAGAGGGCTGTTAGTAATAATATGCATTACTTAAGCTCCATAAATGGAAATTACGGTGCAATGAAACACAGTTCCATAAATCTCAGATTTTGTCTTACGGATTTCTAGGTGGGCTTTGTCCACACTGTCCATCAACTTATAACCTTTTCTCTGTGGCCTGACTCAACTCTCCTCTCTACCTTAATCTGGAGTTCACCCAGAACTCCAGTCTGGAAGGAGGAAGAATCCCAGGGATGTAGATACACAAGACATAGCAGTGCCTAAACTGCCTTTTGTTGCAAGTTCCTCCTGCCTGGGCTGGGAGACAGCTCTGTCTGGAAAGTGGGACAGCTGCAGGGCAGCCTGGAATGTCAGCAGAGAAACCAGAGCAGATGTAGCCACCCCAAATATAGGAGTGCCCAGAAACCAGGTGGGTAAAATACTAGTGATCTGATCAGTTATTTAGATGGATCACAGGATCAGGACGCAGTACTTTAGTGAGTGTGTGTAGGAAATGTTTCCTAATTGCTTCTGAGCGGAGTTGAGGGTGTAGGAAGGTTCACCATGCAATAATGTGGAACTTACCTTGAAGGTGAGTGTGTAGGGGAAGAACAAATTTGGGCAGTTATATTTCTTTGGCCTGTTTGCTATGAGATGCCAAGATGCAACTTCAAATGATGAGTCTCATGTGAGACACAAGTAGAAAGCAGATTACCATCTTCTTGATCTAAATCAACTTTCTTTTTCCTCCCTTTTTCTTAATTGCACTTACTGTTTCATGGGTAACAGTGAACAATTTTTACTCTCAACTCTCTGCCCATGAATTGCAAGCGACTGGAGAGGCAGAGGATTTCTCACCTGGCCTTCACCACCTAACCATGGTGTTTCTCAGTCAAGCATCAAGTGTGTTATTCTCAAGATTTCCTTTCTGACTGTGATTTTTATTTTGTGAGGTAATTTCAAAGTAGTGGAAGACTTTGGGGAATGTGAGTAATGGACGGTGCTTGTGACACAGCCTGGGTTCTGCCCTTTGTGATCCACAGCTCCAGGAACTGTACCAGATGGTTAATTTTGTTGACTTTGTGTCACAGAGTTTGTCTTGAAAGGTTTGTAGTGTTACACAAACATGTGCCTCTTCCTCCCCTTCCCAGGTATTTTACAGGATCAGCTCAAAAGAATGGGCTGTATCTGTACCATGCTCGAGTGTGTTTTAAATCACGTTAATATTTTAACAGGTGATTGTTTCCTACTCTTTTACATTCTCATCTATATACAAATAGCATGTTGTAGCCCTCATTAATCAAAATGACACTTTCTACACCCTCAAGTGTTCTCACATTTGCACATGAAGCGTGTTCCCAAAACTCTGTGCTGCCTGATTGATCTCTGCATTGTGCACTTTTCAGACCTATGTGTCTAAAGCTGCCTGAAAAGATACAAAGCTTAACTTCTAATGTGATTTCTTTAATCTCCTTTTGTAGAATTAGTACTACAAACCGTGTAGAAAGTGTTTCCAAGTTTGCTTTTTGCATCAAGCTTGGCACAGGCACAAAGGACCACATCCCATCTTACACTGGGAAACACACTGCTGGCTGCCAAAAGAAGTGTGAGGAGTCTCTGCTGTTTTGGGAAAGGGTGTAAGAGAAATAAGGCTGTTAAAAACTGAGGAAAGCAAAACATCCTCCAAGGCACAGAACTGCCCCATTGACTGTTCAGACATGGCTCATTCTGGGGCTCCTCTTCCCACTGAGTGCCACAGAACAGGCATTAGCTGGTGGTCACATCCAGGAGGAGGATTTACATTCAGTAACTTGTCTGCTGCTAAGAGCACAGATGACTACTCATATCCATGTATGTATATATAAACCAGACAAGGACTGCCTGAGGGAATGGGAAGTGGCAGAAAGCCTTTCCTAGGCATAAAGAACTGTGGAGCAGATAGAAAACTCCCATTCATACTGTGCTTTCTATCTACTGTACATCCCAAAGGCTGTGGGGATGGGTCTGTGTGCAGGGCCTGGAGAGAAGCTGGAGTTTAATACTCTCTTTAAAATATTTAATTTGGGTTCAGGAGTGTCTGACCCCTGGAGGCACCACTAGGTCCCCACAGAAGAGGTGCTGCCATTGTCTGACACTTTTTCTGCCCACATGGCATGTGTGAAACACAGCCAGTTTTACAGCAGCTCGTATGGAGGATTTATTGACTGAAGACTCTCAAAGAATTTGCAGAATTTCCTTTCAATTTTTTTTATAGTCTGAGCATGGATATTTCTCTTGTCTGGCTCAGTTCTTTCCTAAAAGCCTGTCTGAACATTTTAGTAAAAGAAATAAAAATACTATAGAAATAAGTATCAGCATGAAAGTGGAGGGGTAAAAAATGTTGCCCTCTCCATTGCCAGAAGTATAGAGTATAGGTAGAACAGCAGAATTTGAGGAAAAATACTTACTGATCAGTAAGGTTTTCTTCACCTTTCTCAATTTTTATTTTCTTGTCCTAGAAGAGACAGTTATTTTATGTTACTTTTCTGGTCTAAAGTCTCTAAGAGAAGATAATCTAGTTTTGGGGTGAGAAGTGCACAGCTTGAGCAGAAGCAGCATGTAACACTTCTTGCCTTGAGTGTGGACCCAAGTGAGACAATACATGTGTGTCAAGCTATGCTGGGGGCAGAGGGGAGGGAGGGTGATTTAAGGCAGAGCTTATTAGCGCTAGAAACCACAGCTTTTCAGGTTGTTATTTACTGATATTAACGAGTAGTGATTTAAGCACTTGCCTTATGACTGTTTTGTAACTTGCACTGGTTTGACAGGACTTGCCTTGCCTGTAGCCTTCTAGAAGACGTGAAGCTCACCTAAGAGTGTGGGGCTGGTTTTGGCAGCCAAAAGCATAATTAGAGTTTCACCCGCATGTATCTGGCTTACAGAGCGCGGATAATGCAAACCTCCCGGCAGCCCCAAGGACGAGTGTGTTGAGTTTTCACGGCAGTGCCCGATGCGCGGAACCAATCCCGCGTTCGGTCCCCGCCCGGCTGCGGCTGGGCTCTGCCCCGCACACACGGGCCGCCCGCAGGGACACGCCAGCCGGACTTCGGGCGCCTCCCTGTTGCTTCCCCTTGCGAGCGCACGCCGGAAGATGCTGCTGTGCTTTGCCGGAGGTGCGAAGCCGCTCGCTGTGGCCCGTAGGGCGGTGGCGATGCGGGCGCCGAGACGCGGCGCTGAGAAAGTTTGCCGGTGCCCGAGGGCGACTTTGACGCGTGAGCGGCGGGGGCTGCCGGGCCGGCCCGGCGCGTTCCGGCTCTGCGGGTGCCGGAGCCGCGCCGCGTCCGCGGGGGCCGGGCCGGGCCGGGGGGAAGGGGCGTTGCCATCTGCTGTTAATTCCGCGGTCATTGGATTAGTAACCAGCGGTGATGAGATCAGCGGGATCGGCTTTCGCGAAGGGGCACGGCGCTCACCGCGCTCCCCAGCTGTGCCGGCTCTCGCATGAGGCGGCGGCGGGCGGCGCAGGGGGAGGCAGCGCGCACAAAGCCCGGTAGCCGCCGCAGGCCGCCGCCCCCGGGCAGGGCTCCCGGGCGGCCCGGCCCGCGGCGCCCGCCTCGCTCCGAGCCGCGGCTCCCCCGGCTCCTCTCGCCTCCCCGGGCAGCCGCAGGCAGCGGGGAGCAGCCTCTGCTGGGCGGGCGCGCTCCGGGCGGGGGGCGCGGGCTCCGAGCGTGGCGAGCCCGGCCACGGCGCCTCCCGAGTTTGTTTACTTGTGCTTCGCTTCTCGTCCCCGGTGTCTCCTCTCTGCCGGCATAGCGGATCGGTGGCGGTGCCGTGCTGGGGGTTTATGGTAAGTTTGCGATGGGCGAAGCCCTCAGTTCGTGGGAATTCGGTGTTTTGTTGCACAGTATGTAAAGACGCGTTTGTGTGTGTGTGTGGGGGGGAGTTCTTGTTTGGTTTTTTTTTTTTTTTTTAGTGCTCGGTTTGAAGAAATAGACTTGCGAACCGTTTTCTGCTTTATAATGAAGTGGTTTACAATATAAATTAGTTTCTTGAGCTATGTAAGAGAATTATTTCTAGATGTTGGCTAACTGGAAATCTACGTTTCTCATAAACTGAATGTATCTGACTTTGCGCTGCCGGACGCAAACCCTTTCGCCTCGCGATTGCCACAAGCTAATGTTTTACAGTGGTTACTTGGCGCTTTTTCGGGCAGTAAAAGCCAGACCTCAGTTCAGGTGTTTAGACGAATCTGAAACATTAAACTGTCTTCTCCGTAAGAGTATGAGGGAAGCTGAACCTTCGTCAAGACAAACCTGAATTTGTATGCGAGACTTGAGTTTCAACAAAGAAAGGTATTGACTGAATTTGCCCTCGCGTCACTTGTAGGCAGGCTGGGTTTGCTGTCGCTGCTAGGAAGCTGTTCCTGCCGAGGGACCAAGGGCAGGGCGGCTGAGCGCTGCCCTCGCCGCCCCGTGCGTTCCTGGAGGGGCTCCGCCGTTGATGTGGCAGCGTCCGTGCTGGCAGCGAGTCATTTGTATTTCTTTGTGCCGAGGACTTGGAGTGTGGACTGCTACAGGGTGGAAAGTGTCCTATATAGAGAGATGGCCAGCTACCACTTCAGCTGCTGGTTTGATGCTGGCTACAGCCCTTCGGTGCTTAAGTCATACCAGATATTTTCACAGTGCTCTGTTTGCCTTCCGGTGACAGAAGCAATCCCTGATAAGATATCTCCACGCTGCAAAAGAGCTTATCAGGAGTTAAAAAAAAGCAGTCCCGGAGAGTTGATGCTTGTGGCTGAAACTGGCCTGACTTGTGCAGTGTATCTCAAAGGATGCTACATTTTTAATGTTGTTTCTGTAACTAAAGCACCCCGTCAGGGACATGAATATCAAATTGCTGTTAGATTATTTGGTGCTGCTGACAGAGAAATGCCAGATACTGTACATTCTCCTAACAACAAGCGGAAGTTTTATAACTGGCCTTAGTCATGTAAGTCTGGTTTCCTTGGTAGCTAATGTGCCTCGGTGTCTTGCTGCTGACTCCGGATGTCCTTGGATGACCGTCCTGTGCTTCAGTGACCCTGCCAGGGCTGAAGGCAGACTCGGTACTTCCCTGCATCACCAGCATGAGAACTTCCCAGCGCCGTGCCTTCCTGAGGCCCTCATGTGGGTGTTGCTCTGGAAGTACACACTGGTGTTGTTGGGCTCCGAGAGCCCTGTGTTCGCTCCCATCCCATCGGCCTGTTTGTCTTTGCAAATGTCACTGCAGCCAGCTCTGAAGCACCGGGCTTCCTGCTCAACAGGCTCTGGGCTCGGGACTGAGAAAGCAGTGCCACCTTTTTGCAAGGAGCTTTTCGGAGTTGTGAGACTTCTGGGATTTTTGGTTGTTTTTTTTTTTTTTGTGGGGGGGGGGTGGGGAGGAGGAGGGGTGTGGTTTGTTTTTGGGGATGTTGTTTGGGTTAGTTGGTTTGTTTGTTTTTGGAGAGGTTGTTAATGGTGGGGTTTTTTGTTTTGGTTTGGGTATTTGGGCTTTTTTAAAGAGAAGCATAACCCCCCACCCCCATGAGAAGTACTAATTGGATATTTTGTTTCTTGAAAGAACAGATTTTTCTGATTCTTGGTTTGACCAAATTACAGTCATCTTTATGACTCGTGTTTGTGCAGCATGTGAATTTCTGAATGATGGGACATCTCTCCTATGACTCCACAAGCAACAAGTCATTGACATGTTAGGCTTCATTGTTGCTGCGCAAACTTTTTAAATGGATTTTCCATGTACCAGGAAAATTCAAGGCAGCTATTTTTGTCTCATTTTCCTTCACAATCACTGTTTTCCCCTTTTCTGTTTATAGGATATTGACCTCTTTTTATGGAGAAGGAAAGTAATTTTCACAGTGGCACTCAATGACATGTTGCAGGACTCGTGTGATGGTTACTTTGTGTTGGCTTCTTTTAATTGAGACAGCTGGTGAGTTTTCCTGTGAGGAGCTGATTTGCTTACCCATTTGAGACATAGTGACAGTAATTGAGGAAGAAGGCATTCCATGATTTTCTGAGATATTATTGTTAAAAATCCTTGGCTAAAGCAATTAGCAAGATCGTGCTAGATACTCAACTGTCTCATCCTGGTAATTCTTCATGGCCAAGAAGAGGAAGGTAGAAAGAGGGATGCCTTATTCAAATTCTGTAAGCCATGCTGTGTTTTAGCTGTCTGCTCTGTTCAGTCTGCTTGGCTGCTCACTACTGCTGCACTGACATCCTCTGCGCAGTTCTTATTGTGCTGGGGCAACTTCGCTTCAGTGTAAACTTGAGGCTCTTGCAGTGGTAAATCCCAGGTGGAATAAGGATAATGCAGAGTGGCCTTGATACTCGCATCTATTTCCTGCATCAGTTAGTGAGGATAAATGCACTGTTCTTAATAGAATATCCATGTAAAGGAAATCAGGATGTATTTTCTTCTCAGCAAGTTTCCCAGGACAGAAGATGGGTGTAAATGTTGCTGGACTTCATAAATCTTCTCTGAAGTGAGACTGATGGTAGAGAGGAGTGGAGGCTGGTACTGCTGGGTGCCTGCCTTCCTGCCACCATCCAGGAAGCAAAGTTGAGCTCATGGCTACAGGGATGAAGGGCTCCATGCTGCCAGAGGATGGATGGATGCCATCCGTCCATCTGAGCTATGTCTATGTAGCATGCACCTTGAGGCTAGTGAAGGTGCAGTTGTCTTGGGAATTTTAAGTATTTATTAAGCCAGAATAGATCAGTTTTCTGTGATGAAGGCATTGGTTAAACCTGCCCACTCAACAGTTAACCAGGTTTGAAATCAAAGCTCTCTGTAAAGTTTCTATGTTATGGATAAATATTTGCCTATAATTCTGGAAGTTGGTGTTGTTGGACTGACAGAAAAATCAACAAGTGCTGTGGATTGAAACTTGCCAGACCAGACAGCTACCTCACCCACTGTATTTTTAATGGGGTTGTGTACATGTTGGTGAATCTGTGTCACTCTGCAGCACGCACAATTTTTGCTGGTGACTTTAGGCTGTCTTTGCAACATGCTCTGTTAGCTGACACAGGTTGTGCTGTAGGATGAAATGTTAATGCATCACGTGCTTCCTGGAAGAGCTGTTCATGTCTTCTGACTTCTTTAACTTCAGTCAACTCGGGCTCAGGTTGTTTGTGGGGGTTCGTTATTTGCTTTTTGCCTTGAGAAGGTGTGTGTGCATCACTGCCGCTGGTCCTGGGCTTTGTACTGCCCATGTACTGGAGAGCGCTGCCCCTGAAGGGCTGGAGGCAGCTTCAGTGGTAACCAACTTTCCCAAAAACAGCAGATGTGTTCTTTTGGTACAGCATCCAAGCTGCTGTTGCTTGAAGGCAGCACTGTAGTGTACTTGAGCTGTGCTCCCTCAAGAGTTAAAGTATCTGAAATGGTGGATGCTGTTTGAATCCTGTTTTCAGGTGACCTTTGCAGTGATGTCAGGAAATGCCTTTTCCTCAGCTGCTTGTACAGCTCTACAGCCCACAGCCATTTAGATTGGATGATGATAAAGTTAAAAGTTAGTTTTGGTTTGGCTTTTTGTGTTTGGAAAGCTGGCAGTATACTTACTCAGCAGCATTCACAGCCCATCAGGGAAAAATCCTTGCCCTAAAGAGATTTAACAGTGCTCCAGTCCCCTTGGTGGCAGCATGGAAAATGCATAAAGGAGGGCTGGAAAAATGTGGGTTATGTTTTTGGTAGCAGTCGTGGTTAAGGGAGATCAGTGCTCACAGGGTGCCATGACTTTGGGCTCAGAACTGCCATTTATTTGGCTGGCAGTAATTGGTTAAAATTTGATGGCTCTATTTTGGCTGCCTCTGCTCTATTAAAAACTGGCCCATCAAGAGTGCTGGACAGAACTCACCACTTTCCTTCCTTTGGCTCCCTTTCCATCAGAAATGGAGTAGTGTCAGGTACTAGCCTGTTGAAATGCACGTAAGTGTATTTTTATATTTTTTGGGGGGTGTCTTTTTTTAAGTGGATGTCACCTTTGCCTCAGAGGCCAATGTGATGCAGCATTTTATTTCTGTAGCAATTGAAATACAGACATTTTATGTAAATTGCTGTGGTTTGACCATTGCAAAGAAGCATGTGAGGAGAATTTATATCTATTTCCATGCTTAGTAAAAGGTGAGGTGCCTGGACTTAAACGTGGGTGCTCTGTGACCTAAATCTGTTCATGCTGAAGTCATTTGAACTTAGACCAATGCTGAGCAGTATTCTGTATAATTTTTTGCTTCCCTGTGCTTATTTTCTATATCTTTGGATTGAACGTTGTGGGGTAATCCTGCTCATGAGTAGTGTCAGATGACAAGTTTTATTGTGTTGCATTGCAGAGTGTGGTGACTTAGCAACTTTATCTTTGAGGATTTGTCAGAGGCTGAAGGGACAAGTAAGCTTTGGTGTGCAGCAATGTAGGAAATCCACCTTGGAGCTGATTGCAAGCTACTTCTTTCAGAGCTATACAGCAGAGTCTTTAGATGAGTTTGTTTTCTTGATTTAAACATGCATTTTCAAAAAACTGTTCTTATTCTGCCTTTCTCTTCCTAACCTATTGCTGAAGTCTGCTGTGCACTTGTCTGCTGTTGTGCCTTTCTGCAGTAGCAACCCCTGAGGAAAATTTTGCCTAAGAGATTTTGAGAAAAAGAAAAGATTGGTTGTATTTACAGTGTCTCATCAGAAGAATGAGGATTTCCTGCAGAAATGGGTCCATGCCCTGGGACCCAACCATGGCCCAGACTGCTCCTGAAGCCTCCCTTTGCTGGGCTAGGGAGCTGCTGAGGGAATTCCCTGCAGAGGGGCTGGAATTTCTGC